CCAACTCTTGTTACTCTCCAGCCAAAGTAAGGGTATGGCTGAAGCTAGATTGGCTAGATTAAACACTTTGTACTCCTCAGCCGAAGTAATTATATCGGCTAAGGAGTGGTTGGCTAGTAAGCATATTTTAACCAGCCAAAACCGAAATAACAACTGGAGTAATAGAAGACATTACAAAGTACAGGCATACATATCACAACCGGAATAAGAGTTGAAGCAAATTTTTTCATTCATTGAAACTATTACAAAGAAGATTCATAGTTCGGTTACAACGGCAAAGAACAACAAGGAAAAAATCAAGAAAAAAGATCTTCGATTTCGGCGTCGAAGGCAGCATCGGCGTCGACCTGAAGACCGGTTTCAGGCGCAAGGACGTTTTCAGTAGAAAGAATGGTTTCGGCCGGAGCCACGGTTTCACTTGGTTGATCAATAGTTAAATCTTCCACCATGGGCTCCGACCGAACTACTTGATTTGCATTCACAACCGGAGTATCCTCAGGGGCAGAGTCTTCATCAGAGTCTTCATCGTCTGAGCCCTCAAGAAACTGTTGTTGCATGGCATTGGCGTATTCCATCAGGGAGTTCGGTATAAAGTAGGCTGGAGGGTTGAAAACCTCGGTCTGAGGATCATGACCGAGCTTCTCAACGGCTCCCCTCCAGCCGCACTTAAAGAACAGCTCCTTGGCAGCATTGCATTGTTGGGCATAAGCATCCTCTGCTCTCTTGAAGCCTTGTTTGTCAGCTTCCTTTGCCTTCTCCTTTATTTCGGCATCTTTCTTTCTTTCGAGCTTCACCAGCTCGCGCAGGTATTTGTCCTTAAGAGCTATGACAGTCTTCTGCCTTTCTGCCTCAGCCGAACTAACCAGTCCGGTCAGCCTGCTGTTCTTAGCCCGAAGCTCGGCCATTTGCTTCTTGATTTCTTCTACTTCGGCCGACTTCACTTCGGCTTCTGCAACAGCATCCCTTGCCATCTTTCTGAGTTCCAGCACCTTCTTGTGAGTATTGTAGTTTTTTTGAATTGCCTGGAAAAAAACGAGGACTCACCATGAGCCGAAATAAAAGTTCACAAAATTAGACAGAGAAATGGACAGAACGGCATACCAGGATCATGGACTTCGTTGCAGACCGAATGGACTTTAATTCGGTGTTTAGCTGCTTTTTGTGGTGCTCCATATCCTTGGGGAGGCACACACTCTTGGCCAGACTAAAGGCCAACTCGTGATCTTTTTCGGCGACAACCGAATCAGCATCCACGACATCTCGGTTTTTAAAAGTCAATTTTGGTACCCAACTGGTGGTAGTTCGGTCGGTGGGTTCCGGTTGGGGGCTCGGTGGCAAGATTGGTGGAATAACAGTCTCATCTTCATCAACCAAACTTGGTTCAGACTCGCTGGTTCGGGCGCGCTTGGTTCGGCGCGATGAAGACGGTTGTTGAGAAGGGAGGGCCACAACGGCAGGCTGCGTTTGGCTTGGTGACGGTACTTCGGCCCTACTTGTTTCGGTCAGAAGCGCCCTCACTCTGCTCTTCTTGGCACTCCACCTCCACTTCACCTACTCCACTACACACTCCACTTCACCTACTCCACCACTCCACCTCCACTTCACATCTCCATCTCCTATATAATGTACATACAATACATCAAAACATACATCAATCAATAATAATACATCAGTTTATTTTACAATTTTAATGGGTTACGTAGGGTTTTATAAATATACATATGTGTTATTTTTGTGCGTAAGCATGTATCAAGATAGTAATCTAGGTAGAGGCAAAGAATTTTAGGGGGGGAGATATATGATTATTGGTATGATAGGTTAAGGGTTTTTGTTTCTTATTTATTTATTTTTTTTTATAGCAAATTTCTTACAATACTGGCTTCAATTTCCAGTAGATGTATTAATACAAAGTGTGTATATTATCCTGAAAAATTCTGAAAATTCATGACTATTGAGAATGGAGACTGGAGAAATTTGGATCCATTTTCATGATTCAGAGTTTTGACATTTTTTTTAAGGTATTTTTTTTAGAATTTGGAGACCCTGCATGGATTAACTGCTGCATATGAAGCTTCTGGAAAAGTGTTAGCCATGGTTGCGATTAGTGGGCACATTTTACTTTTTAGGGCTATTACTTTGCTGTTCCTTGGATCGCCCTTAGGCCTTGGCGTTGCAGAATGTCGTTCTATTTTTTCGAGTGATTGAAATTTTTGTTTAGTTTTTTTTTTTTTTTTCCATATAAATTTTGTAAGTGTTTTAAGAGTCTTCAATTTATAATTTTTGGCATTGCAATTTTTGCAGAATGATAGGGTTTCGTTTATGTTTTAAATATTCTTCAATCGAAACTATAAATTATCCTTCTTATTAATCTTTTAGGTATAAATTCTGTTCTAAAAAAATAACTACAATTAATAGGTTTGTTTATGTTTTAAATATTCTCAATTTTTTTGGATATAAATTCTATTTTTCTTTGGGGGATGCACCAATAAATCCCAAATTAATAACTTATGCACTGTTTAGTCTTAAAAGTTTTCTTATAGACTGAAAGGTCCCATTACAATGTTAATAACATCAGATACAATGTTAATAACATCAGAGTCATGTTACAAACATTGGATTTCAAACATCTAATGTTCATCAAATTTCAATAATGTTTGAAAATATATAGGATGAAAAACATCTAATGTTCATCAAATTTCAATAAATTTTGAAATTATAGAATGAAACATCAGATCATTTATATCATTCACATCATGTTGATGTAAAAATGGGACTAAATGGAGCATAAGAAAACTTTTAGGATTAAATGGTTCAACGTTTCAAAAACTAGGATTTATGGGTAAATTTTCCTTTTTCTTTTTGGTAATTCCTAAACATTAGTGTATTCAAGTTTATAAATTTTAATTAAAGCAAACATCCATGGTTTATGTATGAACTTCTTGATATTGACTTTTGGATATACTATTTAATGTTGTGTTTTTTTTTTTAGATTTTAGTTTCATGTTTTATGTATGAACTTTATTTAATGTTGTAACTTTTTGTTGTGTCCAGTGCTTTTAATTTTATTTTATTTTTGGGGGGTGGTGTTTGGCTATGGTTATTTTATTTTTTGTAAAAGTTTCTTTGACTGTAGGTGTTTTAACAGTTTTGTGTTTTTATTTTTGTATTTTATGTGTACTAATTTAATTATACTTTTTATTTTCTTCATTAAAAAATAAAAGAAGATAAAAAGTTTCATTATATTATCAAGTTCTTTAGGGAAAAACTTTGACTATTATTTTATTTTGTTTATATCAAAAAAAAATAATGTAATTGTTTTATTATGTTTACATTAAATTGTGAGTGTTCTTTATTTATTTTTTAATAAGTTTGTGATGTATAATCATTTTTAATAATATTTTTTTAATTTGCATACACATCTTGTGTGCCTGACTGCTAGTTATTATATATGTTAGCAATGATTTGATATTTAAGAGTATAATGGTTTCTCTTTCTGTTATGTGACATATTTTAAAATATGTTCAGAGTAGGGGACTTGTGTTTTTAAACAAAAATATTATAATAAGACATCATTTTCGATAATTCTTTACAATCTTGCTATTTTATAGCATTACTCATAATACTCAGCTTGTTTGATTTAATTTTTCAGGATTTATTTTTTAGAAAATTAAAAATTTTTATTTTTTTGTATTTTTATCTTTTCACTAAATTTTTTTAATATTCTAAGTAATTTTTTTTTTAATTTTTAGATACACCTAATATAAATACAATTGAAAAGTATAATATTTGTGAACTTTTTTTTATTATAGAAAATTTACTAAATATCAAAAATATAAAAAAAATACGAGAATTTAGTTCATTTTTCGTATTCTTGTGTATTTATTGATTTTTTAAAATAAATTTTTTAAAAATATTTTATTTTTTTAGATACATTTAAGTAAAGTGCATCTAAAAAAGTTAAAAAAAAAATCACTATAAACAAAAAAATATGAAAAATAAAAAAATCTTTTTAAAAAATTAAATTCAAAAAATTGAAACCAACACTACTAGAAAAAGTACTTTTTGCGACCGCCATAAGCTGTCGCAAATAATAAAAATACAATCGCAAAACACCTTTTGCAACGGCTCATGTGACTACAAATGGGGGACGCGAATGTGTTGGTGACAAATATTTTTTGCGATGGCAAAGCAACGGTCGCAAACTATTTGCGATCCCCTAAACTACTTATGGTGGTTGCTATTTTTCCGTCGGCAAAAAACAAAGAAAAAATATTAACATGTTTTTTGGCAATCATTTTATTACCGTTGTAGATAGTTTTCAATGACATTTTATAAATAATACAATAATAGCTTTTTAGCAATGAATTTTTTGTTGTCGCAAATAATTTTTTTATTATAAACATTGTACATCATTTCTTACGAGCACAATCACCTAACAAAATTCTTTAAAAAATCTAGATAATGTAACCAAATTTACATAATATGCCTTTCATAAGCCATGATAAAAGCACGTGCCTCTACATACTCATGTAACTAGATTTACATAATATGCTTTTCATATATAGTACTATATATTAAGTTTATAACTTGTATTCCACATACTCATTCTATAATAGCAAGTCACACAAGCATACTGTGTTTAAAAGAGCCACAACAGTTCTGTCTATTTTTCATTTTTCACTCTTTTATAAGAAGCCACAGAATAGTTCCAAGTTTTTAAAAGCAAAAACCAGATTTCAAGCTGCAGCAGCATAACAGCCTGATTGGCAGATTCCTTCTGCACAAAGTTCTTAACATACTCTTTTCTGCAAATAAGAAACCAACTTATTATTTAGATTAAAGGAAGGCTCCAAAATCTTGAATTATCCAAAAATGAAAAACAAGAAAGGTCAAGTCCAACCTCGCAGGTAGGTGATCACGAGGACGGTTGACAGGAGTCCAAATAGGATCACAAATAAAAAGCCACATTGCCTACAAAATTAAATTCTTCACTAGAAACAAATTTATGATTTTCTTGATGACAATAGTCATTTTTTAAACATGGGCAACATTTTGCAAATGGCGTTTAGTTCATAAGTTGCTAGTGGGGATGATATGTAAAGATGTCCAGCAACAATAACTTAAAAGCAAAAAACATGAATGCAGTTGATTCACAAAGTTTTACCGTAGCTAGCAAGTATTCAGTTATGGTGTATTGGCATAGAAATCAAGAAGCTTCAATCAAATAATTTTGGGACTGAATCATTCATGCAATTCAGGGACTACCCAACAATAACAAGAAACTACTGTAATTTTTTTATTTTATTTTCTGCTCTTCCATAAAGATTGAGCTTCACAGGGTCAAGGGAAAAAAGGGACTACTGCTTTGTGTATGCCTGTATGATCAAGTAAAATCCTTGGAGGAGGTAATTGAACACAATTCTTTCTGAGAGCATAAAACTTTGTCTATTTGTCAAGCTTACTGACTTAGGCATCGGAGAGGTTTCCGGCACACACCCGCCGGCTAGCTCACGTTTGTGTTTTCAGGTGATAAAGCGACGTCGTACGGAGGAGCGTGGACTTGGTCAACAGGATTATACGAGGAGAATTATTTCCTCCCCGTACACCTCACATCAAAATAACCTTCACCACAATGTAAAAAATTAAAAGGCCTAAGCAGACAACCATTACAAAATCAATTCAAATCTCAACTAAATTTACTATTTCCTGCCACACAGTAGCGGATCTTTTCATCAATATGAAGATGTTCTTCAAAGAAGTTTTTGATTTTCTCTTCATAGTTTGGTAACTTTTCTGAGAAACCTCACAAAAGTCCTAAAGATAAATTTGCACCAAATTGAAAGCAACGGAAAGCATCAAAAATTGGTGCAACAGAAATTCCGGAAATTGGTGCTGCTGTGGGACTGCAATCAACATATATAGAAAAATTAACATGCCAACCACAATCAATAACAGCTTGTGAAATCAAACCCATGAGGCCTACCCTACCTCCTCCATAGACTATATCAATGTTCTTTGAGACCTTCAAGAGACAAACGTCAAATCAGTCTAAAAAGTGTTTGTAACAAAGTATATGAAGAAAATAGATAAACCCGTTTGAAAAGAATACCGCAGGCTTTTGTCACTCTATTCCCTTTCTAGTAAAAAAGAGGAGAAAAAAACAGAGAATCAAAGTAAGCACAAAACTTGGTGAAACTTAATAGCATTGAAGAAGTGAAATGAAGTAACATGTTGGACAGCGATGGTATAAAATGATGATAACAGTATTATAGCTCTAATTTCTAATTGTTTGATGAAATACATAAAAATAATCTGTGGCCAACAAAAGCCCAATAATATCCACTATAATAGTCTCACTTTATGGTCAAATAAGATGTCTACCAATTAAATTTAATACAAATTGATACATCTACATGGAAAAGCAGCGACTAAACAAGTTTTATTTCGGTGATAGAATTATCATAACTATTAGCCCTATTAGGACCTTTCGAGTCCGAGTGCCTCGGATCTCTAGGCTTGCTTAATACCCTTTCGAGTCCGGGCCCGAGTAAGTCTCTAGGTTCGTGGATCCGAACCCTTTCGAGGCTTACAACGATTCAATCCGTTTGATGGCGA